AGTTTATTCTTGACTATTTAAGCCACTTACAATACATATTTTTTTTAAGATTCACTGCCCATTACTTTAATGACTCTCAGATTGAAATGTTTTGCATTTTCTTTCTTTCTTTCTTTTTAAAGAAATATTCCCCCATTCCTGTGAGATTTACTTGAATTCTGAGAACATTTATTTCAGTTTTAGTTGTCCAAGTGGTCATGTATCCCTGCCTCTCTTTAAATCTGTGGATGGTCTAGATCTTTTCCATTGTTTTGTAAATATGCAGCTTTCATTATTTGAATTTTGCTAACAATTTCTTGGCTTAGAGTAAAATTTAAAAAATACAGAAAAGTATAGAGTAATATAAGAAACCCTGTAATCCCCCAGAATTCACCTCTTAGCTTTTAGCCAGCCAAAAAATATTTGATGCATTTTTTTAAGGGCTTCACATTTGTTATTATAATTACGAACAGTACCTCAGAGAACCTAAATACAGAATTTTAGTGTTTATCTTTTTGAGGAAAATTTTTGCTAGACAGTTTTGTTTTTTTAATACTGTAACCTGTAAAAACTGTTAAGAAGGACAAATATAGATAATATTTAGTTTTATTCTGTTTTGAAGAATTTTTTATATAGCCGATGCAGTGTTTCTTTTAAATAGCTGATGATCTACCAAACTTGTAGCATATCATAGTGTAGCATATTCAAATGATTTTTAGCAAAATATTGTGGGGGTGGGGAGGATAAGCATTAACTTATTGTTAGACTTGTGCCATGTTCTTAATTACATACTAGGAGGATATGTAATATACTCAGTAGCCTACTGGCATGAATATAAACATACAGGGGATTACATTTAAGAATATTTTAATTTTGTTCTATTTTGATCTCTTAACAGTCTTAAATGCAAAATCTAAATTGCAGAACTGTAGTTTGAAAAGGAAAATACAGTATTCAGATTCAACTGCATTTTTACTTTCTTCATGCTGCACATAGACATACTGGTGCATATTGAGAACAAAGGATTGGAAAGCATTTGCTTAGAAATCTTCCTCTTTTTTTTTTTTCTTTGTTGCAACCATATTTCTGTGTATTGTTTTCAGACTCTTTAGATGAAAAACAATCAGACTAATTTATCAATATAAAGTATTTAGAAGTTACTTTTAAAACGTATCTAAATGCTTAATTGAAATTTTCTACATTTTGCACCCAGTTGTTTTGAAAGGCACTTCCACATTTTGTTTCTTCTAAATCTGTTGAGAACTGTAACCATGTTCTGGGAAGAGTACATTTTATTACCTTTTCTAATTATATCCCCTCCCCCTTGGTAATTTTATGTAGTTATCCTAAATATTACCTAGTTGCCATAAAATGAGAGCAATTTCACTTCTATTTAAGAGTGATTGTTGAACGGTTCAGTACGTTGTTCCTTAGTATATCCAGTTACGCACTCCAAAACCATCTGTGAGATCAGCTACTAGTTGAGAAAGCACAGCTAGTAATTTTTATGATTATTAATTTAGCTTTCCTGGACTAAAAGTTTCATATCAATAGTAAAAAAGGAAAACAATTTTAATTCCTTTTAGCAAGTGAGCATATATTATAATTTAATTCACTCTTTGAAAATTGTGTCTTTAGGAAATCCCCAGTACTCTCTTCCTTGAGAAGATAGTGGATTGCTTAAAATATTGACTCTTCCAATTATGTTAAAAGGAAGTGTTGACTTATTTGGAACACTTCGAAGGCCTTGGTAGGAGATACATGTGTGATGAAAGGTTTCTCCAGCCCATGTCTTTGTTTTTTGAACAAAAGCGGGAGAGTAGCCTAAAAATATATGTATATGATGCAGAATTAATCCATGGAATATGCTTTCTGTCATTCAGCCTGTACAATAGTTGAATTCCTTTCACTCAAATTTTGCCATAGCTGTCTGTACTAGCTGGCTTATTTTGATGGGTTGTATAAGCAAACTGCCAGAAAAATTAAACTTCATTCTTTATATTCTCCCAGAAAAATCTGCTAACGTGTGTAGCATGCACATTTTTCTCCTTGGGCGTATGGCAACGTATTCCACATACCAGGTTGCTTACAAGTTAGAAGGTGGTTCTTTGAAAAACTGGGTCCCTGTATAACTTTTCCAGTTGCACACCCACTGCTCCCCCCCACAAAAAAACCTGCATTGTTGTTTAGTTACGTTAGAGAGAAGTACATAGAGGGCAGGTGGACCACATTTTCTGTATAGACTGCCAATAGGATAGGAATGGCTGAAAGCCTTGCCTACTCCCCTTCTTATAGAAAAGGACTTTGGTCATGACCAAACCCATTGCTGTCGAGTCGATTACGACTCATAGAGACCCTAAAGGAAAAAGTAGCACTGCCTCATAGAGTTTCCAAGAAGCGTCTGGTGGATTTGAACTGCTAACCTGTTGGTTAGCAGCCATAGCTCTTAACCACTGCGCCATCAGGATTTCCTGGTCATGACCAGGCAGTTCTTAATAGCAACTTTTAGCTCATAGCATGGACAATACCAGGTCAAAGACAGGTGATTCATTGAGTATATGTTTAACATGTTTAGCAGATTTTCATTTTTCCAAGGGTGAATTGCATATGTTAAGCAAGGACTTATTTACCTTCAAGGCATTATGCATGGTATTATAGTTAGTTTCTCAAAGTAGGGGGAGGGGACAGCGATCTGTTTCCAGATGAATACTGTCCTAGATTCTTTTATAGCCAGGGCAGGGTAGCTAGATATTTAGATATGTATTTTTATGGCCATAACCGTAGTGAAATTCTTCATCTGTATGTCTTGCAATGATTTTTTTTTTTTAAAAAAAAAGCTGTCACCATAAAAGGTCCAGAAAATCAGGGACTGAGTGCTGGAAAGGGAGATGGGAGAGAGAAAGAACCCAAGTAATACTGAGCACCTACTGTGTGGCGAGCTAATAAAAGACATTTTGTAAAAGACGGGCAGACAGTGTTTAAAACACTACTGTGAATGTCTTCAAGTGAGTATTCTTAGATGGCCCCGGATTTTATTTTTTTCCCTGTGGATTACAATGCATAATGCTAAGTGCACACAAACAGCAATCTAATTTTTTGTATACTAACCCACCCATTGCCATCTGGTCAATTCCAACTCATAACGACCCTATAGGACAGAGTAGAACTGCCCCATAGAATTGCCAAGGCTGTAATCTTTACGGAAGCCGACTGCTGTATCTTTCTCCTGCAGAGTGGCTGGTAGGTTTGAACCACCGATCTTTCAGTTAGCAGCCAAGCACTTTAACCGCTGCACCACCAGGGCTCCTTTTTGTATACTTCATGATGCTCATTTTAAAAATAATCTTGCACACACAAATGGGGAAGAAAAGGCAGAGAAGAAAATATAGCTAATAGTCTGCAGTTACCTCTGAATAATGGGAATATGGGATATGTATGATTTCTGATTCTTTTCTGTATAGGTTTCTAGATTTTCGTTAGCACATACGTAGTTTACAATCAGAAACAAATTATAAAAACACGTTAACAAAGAAAGTGAACTATATGTTTCTGTGTCTGAGACTAAGCTCCGTAGACCTGTAAATTAAAGCAAAAGAATTTCTATTGGTTATGGCCAGTTCTTCAGTTTTGACTATAGGAGATGCTAATAAGCATTTCTCGTAGTACTTAGTTATCTATTCAAATGTTTTCATTGGTCTCCCTTAATGCTTTGTGGTGATAATTAAATTCTTATACCTCATCTAGATGGTCAATAAGATTGACTTTGATCCTGATTTGCCAGATTATATTGAATTAGGCCATCTTGTATTCATTATAGAGGGACACAAGATTTTTTTTTTTTTAATATTAAATAAACTAATTAAATGCTGAGTTAGAATCACATTTCAAACATTACTGAACAATGAACTGACTACTATCCACCAGATTTAAATAAGCCTTTATGATGAAATTCAAATTTTAAATAAGTTTACTATATCCATTTTAAAAGACTACTATATATTAGAGCAAAATGTGTTTGACTTTTTTGGGGATCAAGTATCTAATACCAGTTACTGTATGTATAGAAAAATTATACTGTTTCTGTATGGTAATGAAAATACTTAGGTATTTTTTGAAGTCAAAGGAAGAAACCTTAAGAAGCAGCACAGCTGGGGAAGCATATAGCCTTGAGAATATTGCGGTAATGCCAAGTAGTGGTTATAGGCTAATTCCTGTGTTGCTTTGTATTTAAATAGACACCATGGCATCAACAGAATAAACTGTGAAGTAATGGAGTTTTGGAAGTTGACGGTTTTCTATTTATGTGACTTAGGGAAGTAGATTGGTAAATTTGGTGGATGCTCAAAAACAATAAATCTTATACTCTCTATTAAAAAAAAACATTAAAAAGGAAACATTATATGGTACCTCTTCAAATATTTTGTTTCTCCTCTTCAAATATTTTGTTTCTCCAGAGTTATGAAAGAGTACTCAAATAAAATGTATTCAGTTTTGCTTTGGGGTGAAAGACTACATTTTAACCTGTCACCAGTATACATAGTTCGTTTGAGCTAATGATAAATTAATTGGTAAAAATATACCATGTTTTATTGTGTGACAACACTGCTGTGTGCCTTTAGTTTTTTTTTCTTCCTCTTCTTTAAATCCTAATAATACATCTTAATTTTTTATTCCCTTTCTCCTCCCTTAATTAGTGTTTTTGAGTATATAAATCTGTATTCAATATGGTAGCCACCAGCCACGTGTGGCTACTTAAATTTAAATTAATTAAAACTAAATAAAATTTAAAATTCAGTGCATCAATTACACATTTCAAGTGCTTTATAGGCACATGTGGCTGGGGCTACTGTAGTGGACAGCACAGGTTATAGAACTTTGCCATCATTGCAGAAAGCTCAGTTGGTCTAAATGGTCTAAATGGTCAGGACACTTTTAAAATGTCTTGGGCTTATTTTCCTATATCTTAGAGTATATTTATGTTATGTCACTTAAATTTTTCTTTTTCTTTTTTTTTCTTTCAGTTTAAAAGGATGCTTAATCGGGAGCTCACCCATCTCTCTGAAATGAGTCGATCTGGAAATCAAGTATCAGAGTATATATCAAACACTTTCTTAGGTAAGAATAACATGCAATTTTAAAATTTTCTTTTGAATTGTTTATTCATTCTTGGAGGGGTAAAAGCACCAACTCATTTTGGAAACCAAATGAGCGTTAGGAATTACATTTGTTTTCATTCATCGTATTAATAATTTGAGCCTCTAAGCCTTAGAATCAAAGGTAACATCTTTTTTTATCTTTTAGTTTTTATTCATCTTTAGGAATTCTCTGAATTTAAGTTGTATATTGCCAGTGTTTTCAAAGTACAAAATTGTAAAATATATCTTATATAGAGATCTCTGCATACATTCAGAAATACTTGTTAAATGCCAAGTATTGCTGGGTACTTTGTATTTAGTGATAAACCTAATCTGACAATCTAGTGGACACCAAGCGCAGTCAACCAGTGAGGCAGATACAATGCAACTGCTGAAGAAAAGCTTGCTAATAGCTCAGAGTGTGGTATACTAGAACCCCCCAATCCAGAGAAATAAAATGAAATAAATGAAAGTCAATAACTTGAATATATCCTTGATTTAATTCACTTTCAAATAAAATTGCTGTAATACCTAATTAGCACACTTACTGAGCTTACATTTATTGAACATATGTATGTGCAAGGATGAGCTTGCTGCCTTGAAATAGTGGATGAATGTACTGAGACATCTTATGTCTCTTCTTAGAAAACAACAGTTAGTTTATGTGCATTTTAAACTTATCAGATGATATTGGAAATTCTCTCTGTCACCCATAAAACCTTGTAACATCCTAACCCTTCTCTCAGTATAGCGTAGGAAATAGAGTAGCAGAAATTACCTAAGTCATCCCAGAATACTGCTTCTACTCCCACAGTACGACCCTCTTTGGTCAGCTGTTAGGCTTACACGTTGTTGTTGTATGACGGTTGTGTACGCAGTTTCTGCCATTTCAAAGTAAGTATTATAACTGGAGTTCTTAGTTGGCAAAGGTAATTTTCAGGCCACTAAGTGAATTTCAAATAGGAATACAGTTGATGACCAGAGGAAACAATGTGTTTTGCTTTTTCAGCTATCATGATAAGTCTTGTAAAAAAAATAAAATTGTTAGGATATTTCTGTCAATGAAGTAACCACTGAATACACTTGATATTAGTTATTTTGCAGTGGGATGTATTAGCATAAATTGTATTTGAAGCTATCAAATTAAGTTCATATCCAATTGTGAATATCCAACTCTGTATACAGGGAGTTTAAGTTGGAAACATTTCCTAGAATATATAATGAGTGATTAAAACCTGTCCAGTTATGTATGCTATGATAAAAAATGATAGAATCAATAATAAACACAGAACATTTTCTAAATTTCTTAAGATAAGCAACATGAGGTGGAAATTCCTTCTCCAACTCAGAAGGAAAAGGAGAAAAAGAAAAGGCCGATGTCTCAGATCAGTGGAGTCAAGAAGTTGATGCACAGCTCTAGTTTGACTAATTCAAGTATCCCGAGGTTTGGAGTTAAAACTGAACAAGAAGATGTACTTGCCAAGGTACGATGACTTCAGGGATCATGACCATAAATATGTGATGATGCCTCTTAATGAATTCTGGGTCTTTCTCTTACAAATAGATAGAAAGTGCATACGTATGTGTGTCATTGAAGGTACTGTAGAAAGCTCTCCCTGAATTATTTGTGTTTTATTAGTATGTGGATTTAGACACTGGTTTGGTATATATGTTCTTTATTTTTTGGCATCTACATTTTAGTCTTTGAATTTAAAGAGTTATAAATCTATGATATCTTCTGTATATCTGTATATCTTTTTTAGGAGATTTAGCTGAGGTTTAGGGAATGAATTTTATCTGCTGAAGAAATGCTTTGAGATTAATACTGAAAGTATATAAAGATGTTGTATTAGCAAAGTCATAAGGTTAAACAGTGCTTTTCAGTTTTCAGTACATTTAAGTGAACTCACCTAAACTTTGCCTGTATTTACACTGTACATCCATTACATTTAAAATTAATCATTAAAAAAACTAAAAATCTTTGTTAAATCAGTAATTTTTAAAGGATTATGCTCACTGATTCATTTATTTTTTGATGTCTTTCTTTAACCCCAGGAACTAGAAGATGTGAACAAATGGGGTCTTCATGTTTTCAGAATAGCAGAGCTGTCTGGTAACCGGCCTTTGACTGTGATCATGCACACCATTTTTCAGGTAACCTCGTTAAGTTCTATCACGTTTCTTTTATTCAGGGACTTAATGTCCAGTCTGGGGGTTGTACATACATTTTGTCTTCTTCACTACTCACCCTCTCCTGCTTATTTTGGGTTTTTTTGTTCCTTTACCAAGGAACAAATAAGGATACAGAAAGAATAGAGTGTGGGTAAAACACAAATCAGTTTTATTATTTTTGTCCATTTAAGACAAAGATATGGTATGGGAAAATTGAAGCAATTCATTAAAATAATAGTTTATTAAAGATAATATATGTGACCCTGACTAGCCCAGAGAATTGAATACTAACTGTAGGAAATTAATAAGCTCCCTGTTGACAAAACCTTAAAATGTAATTTTTCATTTACTTTTTAGCATACTGATATCTTCTCTGTATCCATTTCTCATCCGTGTTGAGCGTTGGCCCAGCTCACGGCTGGGATTTCAATGAGAAGTTGAGGCTCTAGATACCCAGGGACTGGAATGGCAAACTCCAGCCCTAGAGAGAGGATTGAGTTTCAGTTGACGGGCTCCAGTGGCTGAGTCAGTGTGACTGGGCTGAAGCCGCCTTCATGATAATGGAACATGGAAACTGTTAAGAGTTGGCAGTTCATTCCCAACACCATACATTTTGAGGATAGCCCACAGAAGGACAAGTGACAGAGGTTTTGTCACAGAAGTCCCTGTATCTTCCATTAGTTTCTATTTTTCTCAGTAAACGTTGTGAGCATGCCATTTCCATTTCTGAGTTAACTGTGACAACACTGGCATGTGATTTTTTTTTTTTAAGACTCTGGAAATTTTTTTTATAGATATAAAGACAAAAACGTTAAGAGGATTTCTTTCTCTACAGGAACGAGATTTGTTAAAAACATTTAAAATTCCAGTAGATACTTTAATTACATACCTTATGACTCTTGAAGACCATTACCATGCTGATGTGGCCTATCACAACAATATCCACGCCGCAGATGTTGTCCAGTCTACTCATGTGCTATTATCAACACCTGCTTTGGAGGTAAATCTGTTTTCTAAATTTCAAGAACACTAAATTGCCACTTACGTTGCGGTCTCTTAAATATTTATACTAAAGTGTTTGAGTGCAAAAAGCAATTGGGTTATCTGGAAGTATATTGAGTTACAGGGGAAAAAATGCTGTTGTGGTTAATAAACAGCTGATTCTTTGATGAATTTTGCCTGTGAAAGTTGATACTGCTTCTTTGAAATGATCCAGTGGACATTTCATAAAGGATATCTGGCTTATTCGGTTTGGGTTAGTTTGTTTTCTTGAAATGTAGTCGATGGCTTATGTATTTATAGTTCAAAGGATGACTATTTTATAAAATATCTATAAGCAATGCATTGATTTTTTTTTTTCCCATGGAATTTGTTAGAAGAAAACACTAATTTTACCAAATTCTAAGAAGTGGTTCCATTAGATGTTTACTAAGCAATTTGATTTGCTTGATTGCTTTAGGAAAATAGTCTCTTTTGCTGATACATTTTACAGTTCAGATTGTTTTCATTATAAAATGTTAATACCTTATTGTTTGGATCAGTGGTCCTCAACTAGGAGTTATTCCATCCCCCAGCACCCGTCCCCCCCCCCACCCCCCCATCAGCAGACATTTGCGGGGTGGATAGGCTGCTGGCATCTGGTGGGTAGGCTGCTAAATATCTAAATATCATTCAGTGCAGACAGCAGCCTCCAACAACAGAGAATTACCTGGCCCAAAATTTCAGTAGTACTGAGGTTAAGCAACCCTGGTTTGGATGAAAGAAAAGAAAATCATTGCTCATGTCTTACTAGTTTTGTGTACATTTTCAGAATATTCTTAAACATCTTAAATATTTTTAAAACAAGTTATTTTCTTAAAAAAAAAAAAAAGAATTTCAGACACTCCTTTATAATATTCTTTAAAATGTAACCAATGGAAAAGGCTTGGTCATGAGATGTAATAAAATTAGATAAAATACTTTCTTCCAAGATTGCACTTATAAAAGTCCATGGGTATTTCATTACCTCAAAGACTCTCTGACATATTCTGATAATTTATTTTGAAGTTTTATTTGGTTTTCCATCTAAATTTTAGGAATTAGTTTTCCATTTGTTATACTTTTTATTTATATTTTTATAGTGTATTAACATCATCTGTATTGTCTGATTTTCCAGGCTGTGTTTACAGATTTGGAAATTCTTGCAGCAATTTTTGCCAGTGCAATACATGATGTAGATCATCCTGGGGTCTCAAATCAGTTTCTGATCAATACCAGTAAGTGCAGCTTATGTATTTATTTATTTATGCAGAAGAAATTCTTTCTTTGTACGTTTTAGGATGACTAAGGGACTTTATAAACTTGGGTATTTCCTTTATTCCACATAGAGCCATAATCTTCTTTTGAGATGCGTAAGTATGTTCGTTAATGATAGTGTATTTTAATATAATTTAATTTAAAATTGAAAACTTTCATGCATCAAAGGACACTATCAAGAGAGTGAAAAGGCAATACACAGAATGGGAGACGACTATACTTGCAAATAATGTATCTGATAAGGATAATATCCAAAATATATAAAGAACTCCTACAATTCAATAACAAATAAAGAATTCACTTAAAAAAAAAAGAAGGACAAATGAATTGAATAGATGTTTCTTCAGAGATACTACAAATGGCCAATAAGCACATGAAAAGATGCTCAATATCATTATTTGTTAGGGAAATGCAAATCAAAACCACAATGAGCTACCACTTCACACCCAATAGGGTAAGTATTATTTTAAAAAAAGGATAAGTGTTGGAGAGAATGTGGATAAACTGGAACCCTTGTACATTGCTGATGAGAAATGCCACTACTGTAGTAACAGTTTGGCAATTCCTCAAAAAGTTAAACACAGAATTAACATATGACCCAGCAGTTCCACTGCTAGGTACATACCCAAAAGAGCTGAAAGCAGGGACTCAAACAGTTGTACACCAATGTTCAGAATAGCATTACTCCCAATAGTCACAAGATGGAAACAAATCAAGTGTCTATCAACAATGAATGGATAACAAAATGTGGTAAACATACAATGGAATATTATTCAGTCATAAAAAAAATTAAAGCTGTGATACATGCTACAACATGTTAAGTGAAATAAGCCAGATACAAAAGGGCAAATTTTGCATAACTGCAAATATATGAAAACCACCGCACCACCGGGGCTCCATAAAGTATCTAGATTAGGCAAATTCTGAGACAGAAAGTAGACTAGAGGTTAACAGGGGCTGGGGAGAGGGGAGAATAAGGAGTTATTGCTTAACAGGCACAGAGTTTCTATTTGGGGAGATTAAAATTTTGGAAATAGTGATGGTTGCACACTGAATGCAATTAATGCCCCTGAATTGTATGCTTAAAAATGGTTAAGATAGCACATTTTATGTTACACATACCCACATACACACCAATAAAAATTTTTTTAAGGGTAAAAAAAATGATTGGAGAAATAAAAAAAGTGCACAAACTGGTAGCTAAACTAAAACTGTAAGCTTTGAAAACATAACAAATGTGACTAAATCCTTCTCCTGTAAACGTAGGCAATTTTGCTATAAACAAAAATAGTTTTTCCAAGTAAATTTAATGCTTTATATATTCTTTACTTTTAACAGTGCATTACTGTTTCATAAAATATATTATAGTTAATGTATAGTTAAATGGATTTTTTTATGATAAATACCCTCTAGAATGTTATATTCAAAACTTTATGATGTTATTTATGTTTTATGGATTCGTTTACATTCATTGCCCCTGAAAGAGACTTCTGCAGTACCCCACCTGGAATTTCAACTTCTCTAAATCCTAAATCTGATCCTCTATATCTCAAATCATTTACAAAGGCTCAACTAACTCTGCGAGGTGGCAGTGATCTCTCTGCTTTCAGAACCTCCAGCACACTTATGATAAGTGTAAGTAGAATTAGTATCAAAGCATTTGACACCTAAAACTAACAGACATAAAACAATTTACAAAAACTCTCATCACATCTGAGAAGTGGTGGCGTAACTGAACTGGGCATCAGTGAAGTGATTGCCACTGTCTCCCGTTCCAGAGTGAGCCATGCCACCCTGAGCACCTTGCTGGGCTGCTGTGTCCTCCTTAACATTAAGACAGGTGACCACCCAATGAGAGGTATATGAATTGTCATCTCCCATTCTGTGTATTGCCTTTTCACTCTCTTGATAGTGTCCTTTGATGCACAAAAGTTTTTAATTTTAATGAAGTCCAGTTAACCTGTTTTTCTCTTTTGTTGCCTGTGCTTTTGGTGTCATATTTAAGAAACTGTTGCCAAATCCAGGGGCATAAAGATTTGCCTTCCCCCATGTTTTCTTCTAAGAGTTTATTATCACTTTACCTCTGAAATTTAGGTCTTTAATCCATTTTGAGCTAATTTTTCTATATGGTAAAAGGGTCCAGATTCATTCTTTTGCATGTAGATAGTCCAGTTTTTCCAGCACAATTTGTCGAATCTAATCTTATTTAAAAACAAGCTTCCCATAGCTGTATTTGTGGATTATATGTAGGCTTTTTTATTTTTTATTTTTTTTTTTGCACAAATACAATACCTTCAAAATAAGAATAAAATTAATTTTTATCACATGCAATTATATAGAAATAACTACAGAGATCATTATTTTATTCAACAAAAATACATTGAGTGCCTGTTACGTGCCAAACATTGTTCTAGGCACTAGGAATACGTGGGTGAACAAGACAAAGTCCTGGCCCTCAAAGAGCCTACATTTTGCTAGAAAAGACACGCAATAATAAGTGAATGTATCACATCAGAGGGTACTGAGTGCTGTGGAGAAAAATCATGCAGGGTGAGTGCATAGAGAGTGAATGAACCGAAGGAGTGAGCCATGCAATTTTAATCCTTTGTCCTTGGCAACTGGATATTAAGTTGAAACCACTACTCCCCTTCCTCATTTCAAGAAGGAATGTTCTGCTCAAAAGTTCTGTTTGAGATTTTTGTTCATTTCGGTTGTAACTTAGTGACAGTGTAGTATGCTGTCATTTTCTAATTCTAGGCTGAGGCTGTAAGAAGAGTAAAAGTACATCTCTTTTTCGTGGTATATTATCTCTAGTGGCTGCCTCGTCTTGACCCTTCCAGCACCATCTCTTGATAATAGGCTGTGTTTGGCTACATGGGCGTGCTAGTCATCACATAAGTGCCCAGTTTTCTCTTCCCTGTGCCTTCTACACAGGCTGTTCTCTTGCCCATGAGAACCTCTTTTCTTCCCTCTCTGCTTCCCTCCTAAGAATGAGAGCTGGTGAAATGCAGGTTTGCAGTCAGTCAGCTTCCTGTTTCTCAACCCATCCAATGGCAGTGTTTGGGGAAAATTCTGGGCCTCACATTTCAGACATCACATTAATAATGTCATATGATCCTCGCAAGAGTTTGGTGAGGATTGCCCTGATTTGACAGATAAGACCACAAGAGGAGAGGTTCAGTGCTGATTTCAAAGCCAGATCGGGGGAAATCCTAAGCTCATGATAACACTGATGGAATAAATATGCATTTATTTATGCCTAAAAGTGCTCTTTATGGAATTTGCCTATTTTACATATTGGGAAAGTGATAAATTTGGGATTTGACCCTTGTTTATCTTCCAATAGAGTACATGTCCTTTTCTCTTCTTCAATTTTTTTTTTAAATAAGCTTTTATAAAAGTGATACATGTTTATTGTAAAACAAAATAGAAATAGTATGGGGAATACAGAAAAAAAGTAAAAATCACTTGAAATTCCATCCTCAAATATAGCAATGGTTACATTTTGGAGAACATCATTTCAGACTGCTCTCTAAGCACACATACACACAGAGATGTAACACATACGGTTTTTGAATACATAAAAAGTCATACTGTATAGTTTTTCCTGTGATCTTATTGTCTAGTTAATCTGTTTTGGACACTGTTCCCTATTAACAGATAACTACATTAACTTGTTCCCTATTAATGGGTGTTAAAGTTGTCCATTTTCTTCTGTTTATGTTGCTTTGAACTTGTGTGATTTTCTTCATTTTAAATATTTCTTTCTGAGAAAAGAATATACATCTCCAAATATATTTTGCATGTATTAGTCAGAAAAAAATATCAAACCCTTGTGCTTTTAGTCTTCATAATGACTTAAGTGGAAACAGAATAAAGCACTATTCAATTTTTTTTTTTTTTTAAATGACTACTTTATAGACATGCAACAGGAACTAGGAAAGAGACAGGGTCTTTATTGCTGAAGATAGACAAGTCCAGGGCAATGGTAAGAGAGCAACAGAATTCAAGGAAATAGAAAAAAAATGAATAAAGCTTAGACTTTCAGAGCAATACTATAGAAGAAAAACAAGAGCAACATGAACAAATCTAGTATTGTTGGCATGTTCCAAACTGTTCTTGTCTCATCTCTGAGTACAAACAAACAATCCTTAAATCACATGGTTCTTACCTTATATAAAATATAGGTTAGATAATCCACAGTTATCAGGAATATAACACCATATGATCTGGACACGTTGCAGATGTTAATATATTCTGCTGAGCTTATCAAGCTACAGGTGGCAGGTTTGCAGGGGAGGATGCAGACCTTCTGGTCCAGCTCTTCTTTCACTTTAGAAAACAGGGAGCTGAAGCCCACAGTGACTTGCCACATGTTAGTAGTGTTAGAATTCACTCCTAAGGTTCTAGTGTTCTTTCCACTGTTACATTATCCAGTATATTCCCTTTGGGTGTTGTCATGTAAGGACAGCAGAGATATCTAGGGGAAATTGCATTGTAAATCCAAAGCATCTCAGCAGTATCAAGAATAAGATAACTTTAGAATGAATGGCTTTTGCTGATCTTCTGCCTCTTGTCTCTCTTTCAGACTCTGAACTTGCCTTGATGTACAACGATTCCTCTGTCTTGGAGAACCACCATTTGGCTGTGGGCTTTAAGTTGCTCCAGGAAGAAAACTGTGACATTTTCCAGAATTTGACCAAAAAGCAAAGACAATCATTAAGGAAAATGGTCATTGACATCGTAAGTAGCTGATGATAGCAAAAAAGAGAATCTGATGCAAGTTGTTTAAAAAAAAAAAAGATGAGGATCAGGTGAAAGGAACTGTATTTAAAAACCTGTTGTGACCCTTTATGGTCAGGGAACTGCCCCAGCTGCTGGCAGTTATGTTCTGTAATATGTTTTCCACTTTCAGCAGTTTGGAGTTCAGAATAATGACAGCTTACCCTCATTATTTTCTGAGCTCCTCTGGTCTGGTGGCAGGCAGAGAAAGATGACTAACAAAAGCAGAGGGCAGTGGCCGTAGCTCTGGTAAATTTTTTTTCACTTTTTTCTGTCAGGGCCATTTAGAAACATCCATGACTTTTATTCTTTTCCCTATGTGTATTATTCAGTGTTATTTTAAAACACAGGAGAATCTCTGGTTGTCAAAAACTTAACTCTGTTAAGCTTTGTACGTACAAAGGCAGGAATTATTTGTTTGGGATAAGCAGAAAATTAACCAGAATATTCTGTTTCTGAAGCATTCTGTAATTAACCTGGGATTAGTTCATCATAGTCCAGTAGCCACTTTCTAACCCAGTGTGTGGAGAAAACTTTAAAACATGTGATGATGATATGTTATAGAGAGACCATCGCTTTTTTTGCTGTGCAGTTGGTTGTCAATGCCTCATGTTTCTGTCTATTGTACACATTTATCTGGGCTTCCAGACAGCTTGACAGCAAAGAAAACTGGGCTCTGCCCCAGGAAGGAGTAAAGAATCTTTAGTTCACTACTATTAAATGTCCATAGTAGTTTTCCCTTTTTGTCTCACATTCTTCATAATATTTTTGCGTGTAAATTCTGACTTTTGTCCTCTGGACTTAATTTACTTACTAAAATACTGTTTGTCTTTTAAGGTACTTGCGACAGACATGTCAAAACACATGAATCTACTGGCTGACTTGAAAACTATGGTCGAAACTAAGAAAGTGACAAGCTCTGGGGTTCTTCTTCTTGACAATTATTCCGATAGGATTCAGGTGAAGCTTTATTTGAGTTTGCTGTATGTGTGTGCATGCACACATGCATGTCTGTGTGTTTGTATGTCTAGCTTTGAGTAAGATTTTTTTTCCCTTCTCCTACCTTATACATTAGTAATGATAGGCAGGATTTCTATCCAAATTCTTATTCCTGAGATTTAACCAGGTAAAATCCTACTGGTGTTTTCACTTCCATATCCTTAAAAATGGAGCAGCTAACATCCACATGACGAACCACTGAAACAGCTCTGAATTCAGCCAGCCATGTACATAAACAGTTTCTTTTATGATATCTAGATGCAGCAGAAGTGGCATAATTTGGGACTGTTAATACAAGTGTGAACCACACACAGACACATCATGGTTGAGCTGTTTGGGATAAATCTTACACTACATGTATTTTTAAGTGTTGCAGTCATCCAGTGTGAATTTCTAGTAAAAAAAAAAAAAGAAAGTGCAGGTGCTGAGTAGAGAATGCATTTGTCTATTTTAGGTCCTTCAGAATATGGTGCATTGTGCGGATCTGAGCAACCCAACAAAGCCTCTCCAGCTGTACCGCCAGTGGACGGACCGGATAATGGAAGAGTTCTTCCGCCAAGGAGACCGAGAGAGGGAGCGTGGCATGGAAATCAGTCCCATGTGTGACAAGCACAATGCATCTGTGGAAAAATCACAGGTAACGCATTAAGCATAACACTTTCAGAGAGAATAAAGCCACAACTTTTACATTTGGCTACTTGACATACACATCACACAGGATTTTATTGCGCTTTTTGAAAATTACTTTGTTTTTGACAAGCTCAATTTCACATTAGTGTTTCTAAGCCAAAAAGTGCTTTCATTCTTATGATTTATATTCATATAGTATTTGCAGGAGCCCTGGTGGCACAGGTGTTTAAGTGCTTAGCAGCTGGCCCAAAGGCTGGTGGTTCAATCTTAACCAGCAGCGTCACTCCAGAAAGACCTGGCAGTTTGGTCCCAGCCAGATTACAGAGAAGAAAACTCTATGGGGCAGTTCTGCTCTGTCACATGGGATTGCTTTGAGCTGAAGATGGACTCAAGGCAAACAACACTAAAAGTACATAGGAGTCGCTGGGTGGCATAAATGAGTAATGCACTCTGCTGCTAACCAAAAGGTTGGATGTTCAAGTCCACCCAGAGGTGCTTTGGAAGAAAGGCCTGGCAATCTACTTTTGAAATATCAGCCATTGAAAACACTGTGGAACACAGTTTTACTCTGACACACATAGGGTCACCATGACTCAGAATCAGTGACAACTTGTGAGAGTATGGGGCATTATTCAATTATCTGGATTCACCTAGACATTGGCTATTCTAAAACAAAGTCCAGCCTTCAAGCCATACCATGTAAACAACTGGAAATTTTTTATATTGTAAACATTCTCTTTAAACTATGGGTTCTAGAAGCCAATTGTAACCAGCTAGTAACAACACTTGGATTTGGTCTGTCGCCTAAAACAGTGACTATTTTACCAAAATAAGGTTTTTAATCTTTTGTTCAGTGTTAGATTTATGAGCCATGATCTACGTAATTTCTTCCCTTGTCTCTTAGTCCCAAGTCCCTCGCTCGGATTTGATTTTTTTTTTTTTTTTTTTTTTAACTAGGTGGGCTTCATAGACTATATTGTTCATCCTCTCTGGGAGACCTGGGCAGACCTTGTCCATCCTGATGCCCAGGACATTTTGGACACTTTGGAGGACAATCGTGAATGGTACCAGAGCACAATTCCTCAGAGTCCCTCTCCTGCCCCTGATGACCAAGAGGAGGGCCGGCAGGGTCAGACCGAGAAATTCCAGTTTGAACTAACTCTAGAGGAAGATGGCGAATCAGACACAGAGAAGGATAGTGGAAGTCAAGTGGAGGAAGACACTAGCTGCAGTGACTCCAAGACTCTTTGTACTCAAGACTCGGAGTCCACCGAAATCCCCCTTGATGAACAGGTTGAAGAGGAAGCAGTAGGGGAGGAAGAGGAAAGACAGCCCGAAGCGTGTGTAATAGAAGATCATTCTCCCGATGACACGTAACAATGCAAAGACAGTCACGCCCTTTTTTTTTTTTTTTTTAAAGTAGAAAAATTGTTTCCAAAGTGCATGTCACATGCCACAACCATGGTCACACCTCACTGTCATCTGCCAGGACGTTTGTTGAACAAAACTGACCTTGACTACTCAGTCTGGCGCTCAGGAATATTGTAACCAGTTTTTCCACCTCCACGTCATCAGAGCAAAGGGGACATCTTCACGAACAGCATTTTAACAAGAATTCAGCTTCATAGAGCTGACAAAGCAGATAAAATCAACTCCAACATGTTTTGAAGGGAGTGTGGCTCATCAGGCAGCCCGGAAGTTGATATGACTTGGGGTTTATTTTCTTTTTATTTGTTTGCAATCTTTTCAGAAGAAAGAAAGCATTACACAGACAGCATGAACTAGTGGATGAAGCAACAAATGTGTCAGGAGTAGGACACAGCATGAATCTGTTACCAGGAGGAAGATGAGCCACAGAAGTTGCATAATTTTCTAATTTCAAGTCTTCCTGATACATGACTGAAGAGTGTAGTTCAATGAGCTGCACCGACCTCTACATTTTGTATGATATGTAAAACAGATTTTTTGTAGAGCTTACTTTTATTATTAAATGTATTGAGGTATTATATTTAAAAAAAAGTATGTTCAGAACTTCATCTGCCACTGGTTATTTTTTTTCTAAGGAGTAACTTGCAAGTTTTCAGTACAAATCTGTGCTACACTGGATAAATCTAATTTACCAATTTTACTTGCACCTTATAGTTCATAGCAATTAACTGATTTGTAGTAATTCATTGTTTTATATACCAACGACTTCCATATTTTAAACATTTATGTTGCGGGAAACCCTTTTTGTAGGTCTTCATTTACTTTGCTTTTTTCTTTCACTCTTTCCAGATAAGCAGAGTTGCTCTTCACTGGCATTTTTCTTCACAGTGTGCAAAGTGAATATTTGTTCTGTAATACTTTGATGTGTGTTTTGTCTAATGTGTCTCAAACCTCATGGAAACTCCATCATCAGTTGATGTTGTCTGAAGCAAGTGGGAGAGATATAAATACCCAGTAGCTAAAATGGTCAGTCTTTTTTAGATATGTTCCTACCTAGTGTCTTCTTAGAACCCTCATTTCACAAGTGCATGTCTTCATAATAACCCACACATTTCATGCTCATTTTTATTGTTTTTGCAGCCAGTTGTAGTAAGAAAACTTTTCTCCTGTTGTGCTTTATTATTTAGTGTGTGTTTGAACTTCTGTCCATGTTCTTCAGATGGGGTCTTATCAAATATATCACCATCATCCTGATTGATGAAACACAACAGGTAGTTAGGATTAGTATTGATTTATGCCGTGGGGTCATATATAATGACTAGCTCTTAATCTTGGTTTACAGAGAAAAGTCAGTGGCTAGCTAGGCAAATTTAAAGAATAGTAATAGAATATATAAACAAACTCCAGTACAACTACAGGCAGCCCCCAAGTTACAAACGAGATCCGTTCCTAACTCTGTCTTTAAGTCGAATTTGTAGGTAAGTCGGAACAGGTGCATATGGTTCTTATTTAGCCTCACTTTAGTGCAAGAAAAGGCTCTCAGCCTTTTCAGTGACTTAAAAGCTACACGTGCAGCAAGTGAAAGTGATTGTGATGAAGAATTTGTTGCGAGTAGGGGTTGATTTGGTTGTTTCAAAGTGAGGGCAAATTTACATAACATTAAAAGGCCAATAAGAGTCGGAAGTTCGCAACCCGGGGACTACCTGTAATTTTTGTTTCTATGATTTTACCACGTGATTAAGAAGTGTATGAGGAATATCCTTGAGAAACAGTTTTAAGTGTAACAAGTACTTTCTTAATGGACAGCCACGCGATGTGTAGGAATTGCTTTGTCAGTTATCACTGTTCAGAAGCATGCCTTATAGAGGAGAACTCCTTTTTAAACACCCTGAGGGAAAGAAGTTGATGATTTCACTAGCACTGGAGGGACAGTAATGCAGTGCAACCCTAAAATATTAGATTGAGTAGGACAATTCTGCCTAAATGGAAAATCAGGAGTCACTCCTGGCCGATTTCAGCACCAGGAGTTGTATTTTAGAGATTAATTAATTTACCTGCTGATAACAGTTGATATCGTCTGGCATTTATCTAGTTTGGACTTTCCTCCCATTTCAGCTTTTAATGAAGTGTTCCCCTTACCTTCTCTGTGAAGAGTTTGGAACCCAGATAATCATTTTCCACATTACTATCGAAGAACTGAGGTGGAGACTAGGAGGGGTATCTGACTAAATGGAAAGGAAATAAAACAGTTAAGAAAAATTGCAGCCCTGAAAAACACTTACATTTGGGACTTCTCAACCATGGTCTGGGAGCTAAAACTAAGTCATCAGCCAGGGAAATGACCCAAGCTGAAGATAGTTCCCATTGTAACCCCCTGAGAACCAACTGATGCTTAGAACCTTTAAAAGAAAAATTGCCTCTATAGCTCTCATCTTTTGTGGAGAGCAGAATAGGAATGTTACTAGATTTCTACTGTCCTCTTCCTGCAAAAATCAAGCCAACAGATAGTAATCTTTCAAATAAAGAATCATATTTGGCCAAGTGTTTTTACAAGAACATTTGGGAACTTCTGGTTTAATTTTGTTTGCCCTAGATGGATATCTGGAAAGGATTTTCCTCCTGAAGAAAGGCAAAGAGCCTAGGGTTTATTTCTTCTTCCAAAATACTCTTATCCCCTTCCTTCCCCTCCCTATTTCTTGGTATTTCCCCCACAGAGTGCCTGGAATCTTAATGGAAAAAAAAAAAAAAATTGAAAGACAGCAATATGTCACAAATCCAGACCTGAAAGTGTTTATAACTGCACTAATAAAGGTAGCCTTTTCCTTCCCCACAGTTTATTGGTGTTTAATAGTACCATGTTGTGAAGATACCACAAATGGACAATCAAATTGTAGAAAAGGCATAATATCCAAGGGATAGGAACTAATCCACTGTACAATCTGCTTGTCCTCTCCCTCCTTTTTTCTCTCTCTCCTCTCTTGCGAAAGTGTGTTTCAGAATTACACACTGCTTAAAAAAAAAAATAAAAATCTTTTTACAAGTGGCTTTACATTTCCTAAAATGCTGTAAGAGAATGCGATATCTGGGTACTGTATGGGGGAAGAAAATGTTCAAGTTTGCTTAAAACCAGTACATTTCAGCTTGCAAGTTACTGAACACAGTAATGCTGTTTTCATTTTTCTTTTACTTCAGTTAAAATTCACAAGAAAATAATGTAGATAGAACAAATTGCAGTCAAGGAAAGAAAACTTGAATGAAATGGATTTTACAGAAAGCTTTATGATAATTTTTGAATGCATTATTTATTTTTTGTGCCATGCATTTTTTTCTCACCAAATGACCTTACCTGTAATACAGTCTTGTTTGTCTGTTTACAATCATGTATTTATTGTAATGTATATACTGTAATGTTAATTGTAAATTATCAGTTCTTATTAAAACATCTTCCCATGATGGGATGGTGTTGATATATTTGGAAACTCTTGGTGAGAGAATGAATGGTGTGTATACATACTCCTTGTACATTTTCTTTTCTCCTGTAATATAGTCTTGTCACTTTAGAGCTTGTTTATGGAAGATTCAAGAAAACGATAAACTACATAAAGATATATAAACTAAAAAAAACATAGCTGCAGGTCTTTGGTCCCAGGGCTGTGCCTTAACTTTAACCAATATTTCCCTTCTGTTTTGCTGCATTTTAAAGTAAGGTAATGGTGGGGCTAGGGCTGGGCGTTTTACAACTGAGCTTTGAACTGATTGATTACCAGCAATAGCTGGATTTCACAAAATCAAAACCTTTGGACAACTCTGAGACTCTTTTGGATACAAGCTCTTAAGTACTCCTTGTCAAGGAGCAGCACTGCATATATAATGAATTTTCCCTCTGTTGATCAGTAGCTACTTCAGTTAGTTACATTCGATTGTTTTCTACTTTCAAACACATCTGAGAAAATATTTTCTTGTCCAGTGTTTATAAAAAGTTTTTTACTTCTACAGAACATAGGAAAATGATTTGAAATTAGAACCATAGGTCACATATGTTGGTTAGTCATTTACTTCATCAACTTCCTGTCATATTAAGAGGATATACAGTAAGAAAAACGTAAATTTTTCACTCTAGACTAATTTCTCTTCAATAAAGATCAACCAAACTTCCTTAAATGTATGCAAATCAATCTATTTAAACACAAAGTTTTGTATGATGCCAGTCCGCATGGCATAAAGGGTTCATCATTCTCTACAGCTTTTTCTGCAACACTTATACTACATAATTTAAGAATTTTAAACTTTAACGTTGCATAATGGCCAGCTCCTAAAAGCTAAGAAAAATTCCTAGTGGACCATGTGGAAACCCACCCCTACTGCTGCCCAGCCCTTGGAACATGTGACTTATAAGTGAAAGGAGCGATTCTTTTTCTAGGAAAAATGAGCCTCCTGTTATTTTATTATTATTATTTTGACACAAACTGTAGATTTTAGCAGCCCTGGCCCAAAGGAATTTGATTACTTTTGTTTTAAACAGTATAAAGGGGACACTATAATTACAAAAAAAAAATCCGTAATGATTTTAGTTGTTTTAAATTTTATTTCTTTTGATATGTTTTCAGAGTAGTAACTTGTGTGTGAGCATTACAAATGATGATTCTTTTAGTGGTTTCTTAGCCTCTTCAGCCCATGTGGATAGTACTGTACATCAATACCTTCATATGAAATTTTTATATGCAGTGGAAATAAAAGCATGGGTTGATTCTGCCTATTTATGACTCGGTCTTTTACAAATAAAGGATTATTCATTTTATATTGTAGTTCAATCAGCACAAGTTTCCAAGAGTCATGCACTTTGTTAAAATGAATAAAAGAAAGGATAGTGAGATCGTAAGTTAGTACTGATATTCATGACCAAGTGAAACCAAATTATGCTGGTTAGTCTTGCTATGGAACAAATTTCCAAAATTATTTAGATGGGCTATAAGGTTATGTACAATGTTTCCGCACAGGTTTAGCGTGGAGGCTGCCTTGTTTAATTGAACATTCTGGTATATTGAAAGTTATTCAGACATTTAACAATTATTTGTTGGATACCCTGCAAATTACAAGGTGCTAAGGATTCAACAGTAAATGTGGCACATAGCCTCTGCTTTCATGAGGCTGATAGTCTAGGGGGAGAAAAGGCATTAAACAGCTCAGTGAACCTGTTAGTATAATTGTGCTGGAGTCCTTGGGTGGTGCAAAGGGTCTAACTGAAAGGTTGAAAGTTTGAGTCCATCCAGAAGTGCCTTGGAAGAAAAGCCTGGCAATCTACTTCTGAAAAAATCAGCCACTGAAAATCCTGTGGAGCACAGTTCTACCCTGACACATATGGGATCACCATGAGTCGGAATCAACTAGACAGTAACTGTGTTTATAATTGTACCCAGTACAATGAAGAAGCTCAGGGGCAGTGATTAAGAGGAGACCTGAACTTGACCTGTTGTGAAGGACCAGAGAAGCCTTCCTTGAGGAAGTGATTTTGTGCTGAGATCTGAAGGATAGTTTAAGAGGTAACCAGGCAAAAAGAGGGAGCTGATGGTGGAGGAAGGAGGTTCCAGGCAGAGGAAACATCATTTGCAAAACTCCTGAGGCATAAGTGAACTTGACTTCTGAAGATACTAAGGAAAAGCAAGGTAGAAGGGTTGGCAAGGCTTAGAGATAGTGGCCTTTCCTAACCATCCTATATAAAGTAGCACCTCTTCTCCATCACCCCTTGCCCTGCTCTGTTGCTGATGCTGACTACAAATTGACATAAACATCTGTTTATTTGTCTCTCCCAGCAGAACATAGATCATGAAAACAGTGTCTTCTAACCTAGAACTATGCTGGGCACACAGAAGGTAGTTAATAAAGATATGGTGAATACAGCACCAAATTGATACTAGATGTAATTCTATCTGATAATCAAGGAGACATTTTAAGACTTTAGAGAGGTGTTTCCTTTTTTTGATACTATAAAGATAATTGGTTTTTTTTGTTTGTTTGTTTGTTTTTTTATGCTTTTGAGCTTGCTAAGATCCTGGATAAAGACAGCTTAGAGTTTACTGTCTCGTTAACTAAAACCTCTGCCTATTCCTCACCAATGACTTCTGTTGATTCTTTGTGAACAACAAAAACAATCCATTTTTTGTTTTCTGTAATAAGAAAGGGTAAGGATATAAGCATAAAGTTAACTCCAAGGTAATCCCCAAATCCTAGCCAGTAGAATTAAAAAAAAAGAAAGTTGCATCGAGTTGGTCTGACTTATGGCGACTCCATGTGTGTCAGAGTAGAATTGTGTTTCATAAGGTTTTCAATGGCTGGTTTTTCAGAAGTAGATTGCCAAGCCTTTCTTTCAAGGTACCTCTGGGTGGACTCACTCAAACCTCCAGCCTTTCAGTTAGCAGCCAAGCACGTTAGCGATTGCATCATCCAGGGACTATGGAATGACCTGTACTTACCCCTTCACTGTTCCTCCCCACACAACAAAACTACAGCCACTATAGCCAAAAGGTGCCCAGTGGGTGCCTTCCAGGGAATTCTTGATTTAAGCGCTAATTCCCTTCCGGAAAGTCAATGAGACTATGGGACAAAGGAACCAACTCCCTCCCGTGCTAATTTAGGCTAATTTGGGTGTGTTGAGCCTACACAAGTTCAGTACCTGACCTGGAAACCTTTCCTGAGGCACAACCAGCTTTGAGCCGACAGCAACAAAACATTCCACCAAAAAACAAAAACTACCCTTTCTTTCCCCAGTGGGAATGTACTTACCCACATGGCCTTGTTTCAATGGATTAGTACCTGCTTTTCCTTTTCCCATCTCTCTGATTTGAGTATGTTTTCCCCCTCAACTGTTCTCATGTCTCTAAATAAAGTCAAATGCAGTATAGCAGGTATACAGCTTAGTTTATGGATGCAAGAGGGCAGAAAATGCTGATTTCCTTCCTTCACATCAATTAATTTGAACTCTGGGTCCTGACCATACTGCTGGGAATTTCTGTCTCTATCATTATGGGCACATCCCTGCTCCCCACCAAAGTAAAGATTCTCTCATCTCCAGCCTATCGTGAGCCTCACTGACATCTGTGTTGCCCAAGCTGCGGTGGTTCCTTGGAGCCCCTTGGCTCTTTGCTTCCTCACCATGCGTGACATACCAGGGATAAATGTGGAGAACCTCAGTGTAGGCGCCTACTTAGGCCCACCACAGGGTGTATGTCTGCAAAAAGAGCCTGCCCTTGTTTTTACCTACTTAAGTTACTGCCAAAAAGTGGGGCTTTTCTTTTTCCTACTCCAAGGGACTCACTCTTTCTCTCCTGGCCTTCTGAAGGTTCCTCTCTCCCTCCCTCCTTCTCCTGCCCTTCAATGGGATTACCAGTACTAGTTGCCTCAGAGTCCTACTCATGGTGACCCATGTGTGTCAGAATAGAACTGTGCTCTATAAAGTTTTCAAAGGCTGATTTTTTGGGGGCTGATTTTTTTGGAAGTAAATTGCCAGGCCTTTCTTCTGAGGTGCTTCAAAGTAGACTCAAACCTCCAACTTTTCAGTTAGCAGCTGAGGGCATTAACCACTTTCATCACTCAAGGACTCCCTCATGGGGACTAACCTTCCATACTTCTGTTTGGCTACATTCTGTTCCCGTAGTATTCATAGAACATTTCTCGGGGGGTGGGGAGTTGAAAAAGCTGTCTTCCCAATGGAAGTCATCACTCCCTGCTGTCTTTCCAATGTGAGGATGAAGCGAAAGAACCG